GAGAAAGGGGGGGGGGGGGGGGGCGGAATAAAAATAAAATTCGAGCAGGGAAAATAGAAAGAAAAAAAGTTCGTGCACCAGAAATGTCTGAAAAAAAAAATTCGTGCAGAGACTTTTCAATAGGGAAAATTACAGGGCCTATCGGAGGTACAGTGTAATGGTGTCCCCGAAAATTCGAAAATAAGCGTTTTAATCGTGTTTTAAGAAGTTTTTTCGGGGAAAATGTGTTTTAGACCTTAATTGAAATGATGTTAGTCCGAAAAAATATTTTTTGACCCTATTTTTCTTTGTCCTGCAAAAATATTTGAGTGCGGAAAAAAAATTCACCTCCCCCCCTCCCCCGGCTCGCCAACAATTTTTGGGGAAAAAAAAAATGCGAGCAAGGGAGTATTAAAAAAAAAAATAACCGACACAGCAAAACATTTTGAAAAAAAAAAATCGTGCACGTTGAATATGGACCCCCCCCCCATCACTTTTCTAATGGTCCGCCCCTTAGTCAAGATTAATTACAACTTGTGTCGCGTGACCGAAATGTACAAGCTTTGAACCGCTAATTATAGAACTACTTGGTTTACGACCTTTTCGGTAAGCAGGATAAACATAGGTGTACGGCCAGTACGGGAGGAAAAAAATAGTGGGACGGACAATAGTTTGACCGATATTGAAGGAAATTTTCCAGGAAATTTGTCCGAGGGATGGGAGGAGACAAAATGTTCAAGACTTAATATGAAGACTTAGAATAACGAAATATAAAAAAGGATTCACACGGCTTTTAAAATACAGTCTGGCGGTAATGAGAATCAAAAAAATTATTTTATGTGGCCTAATATAAGCTTTCCTTTCATCATTTGCCCGATTTATAACCCGAACTGCCAGGATTTTAAATAGAATCTGCCCGAAAAAAAAATATTGGGGGGGGGAAACCCCAGTCTCCCAGTGGTACGCCTATGAGAATAACTTAACAGGCCGTAGTCAGAAATTTACACGAATTACACCTATTCTGCATTTTATACTTGGTCTGCTGGCATTTGCTGCGATCTATGACATTCTTTCCTCAATACCCGGGTTAGAGGTTAGGTTCGGGGTGGGGTGCTTGGCGGTCGGGTTTATTCTGATATACTACAATGAGGGTTAGATGTAGTCTATACCGCAAAACTACTAAGGAAACCGCTAGCCAACTTAATCGCAGACTATTATAAATTTGGAAATGAAAGTGAAATCAATGGTGAGAGTTACAAATCATACAAATTGTTCGAATAAAATTCTTGAATATGTAATCAAGATATTTTTCATGTTTTATTGTTTGGTCCTTTTATATTAAAATGGAATGCAAGTGCTTATTTGAGAGTAGAGGAGAGTCAGTCTGTAGTGAATCTGTTGCCAAATTGACTAAACTCTCTGTATGCATGAATCATATGGATAATCATTTGCAAAGGTGGAATCTCAGTCAGCTTAAAGGAAAAGTTCAAGAGTATGAGCTGATCGTCAACAGGTCTGCATTACTGCATGACAGTTCATCAGATCAGCTTGAACATCTATGGATCTGTGAGATACACAGAAATGATATGGGGAGAAATTGGCGTCCGCTTCGTACATGCCAGTACCCGCTGCATTACGGCCGTAAAAAACAGCTGAAGACCAGAAACGCGGTTAATCCTGACATGTCAAGGGAAATTCAAATAATCTACGGAAAGCATGTTCCAACAGGATCTCGTAAGTCTAATTTATTGGAAAAGTATACTGCATAAATAAATTCTAGTTTTCCTTCGTACAAATTGAACATACATGGTTATTTCAGTTTGGTACCCGAGTTTTCTCTTCATAGACACCTCATTTGGTTTTGTGTTAGTCAATTTTAGATTTTATTAAATTCTTTGTCTGTAGCTTCATATATATATATATTTTTCTGTGCTTTTCAGTGATTTGTGTATCTTGCGCTAACATGCATAAAATAAAGCTTGGAGAGAACATGACTTGGATGCAAGGGCAACAGGCCCAAAGCAGTAAAGGGCAGGAGGAGAAACCGTCAAGGTAATTACAGGTTACCTATATCGTATATTAAATGCATCTATTTCAGTACGCACAGTCAGCTTGGTATTTGGACAAATCAGTCTGTCTGAGACAATAAGTAGTCAACTACCCATACATTTGTGAATGTTATAAACGACTTTAGGATGTAGTAACTTATTGTTACTTTTGATAGTAGTGATACGCGCACCACTGTGAACTCGAAAAACCTGGCCAATTCTGGCCGCTTTTTCAGTAAATAATATAATTTTAATTTCCGGAAAGTCTATTTAACCTCAGTCAGTAAAAACTAACTAGCAAATTAAAAACGCAATGAATTCTTCAGCCAATGTGCATGGTGTAATAAATCGAAATTTGTTTCATCATTCCAACAGACTTGCCAAACGCATTGCAACCATGAATCTTGCAGCAGTCACATCGACCCCTGATGTAACACCAGTTCAAACAAAATCAGCTAAATCCACAGCAGTTTGGACATTAGGATGCGAGGCAGGGCCTGGCAGCCCAAGTTCTGAAGACGACGAGATAGTTGAGGCAGCCGGGAGTCGGCTATGTCCGTGTTCAATGATGTGATGGAGAAACTATCCCAAGTGGCAACCAATGCTGGTTCAGTTAGTCCCTTAACCTTCCAGCTGAGAACTACATGGAATGATGCTAAAGAAGACGAGAAAGGGATCTGCATTGATAAGGCCATCGAAGCTTGCAGTCTCGTGTGTGACGTCATGGCACCGAATGCTGGGCGAGATCCGTTTCAGTCTTGTTTCACAGCTAACAAAGAGACAAACTATAGTGAATTTGTACCCCTAATGCAGGCTTATAGCAATGCCACCACGAAAAACGTGAAAACTCAAATTCTAAGTTTATATGCACATCAATATCCAGTGAAGACACTTCAGAAGATCCACGGACCGTACGCCAAGTTAACCGAGTGGCAAATAAAGCGTGCTAGATCACATGCAAGAGAGAGCGGTCCAGGGTCTTTGGTAGAAACATCGCCATGCCATCGAATTCGACTGCAACCAGTAAAGCTTGACCATTTTCTAGATTTTGTCAACCGCCCTTACTTTTATCAAGATGTGGCTTTTGTTATGAGCGAGCTCAGGCTTGAAAATGGCGAGAAGATTACAATGCCAAATGTTATTCGGAAGGTAACAAGGTCAACAATGATCAGGCGGTATCTCCAATTCTGCAAAGAAAAACAGTTTGAAGCTTTAAGCCAAGCTACTTTTTTCGCATTCTTAAGGTAAGGGAAGCATCTCAACAGAAATCTCTCTGTGGTTTAGACAACACAGCAGTAGAGGGATCAGGGGGTTTCCAGCGACTCCATGGAATAGTGGATTAACTTGAACAAATTGGGCTAGAAAAGAGCATGGCAGATGAATTGCGAAAATCATTTCGAGACGGTAAGAAGTATTACAAAACTGAATACCAGAGTCACTGCGAGGATGATAAAAGCCAATGTCCCGATCATTGTCGAAAATTTGGTCTCAGTGATCCAAACGATCCAGACTTCCAAGAACATTGTGCACATCAACATTTACTTACCTGTCCCCAATGTGATGACATCACTTCCTGTTTAGAGAAGGTTTATCAGATTATCAAGGCTGGCGAAACCTTGAGCTTTTACAGCGATGAGCAACAGGATGACTTGTTGTATGACGTCAAGAGAGCTTCAGACGCCATCAAAGAATGGAAAGCTCACATAATGAGATCCGTAAATCAGGAGTGTGCGAAGAAAGATATCATTGGAAAGCTTGACCAGACATCATGTTTTCTAATAATTGATTGGGCCGTGAAGTTTCTGCAATTGCGATATAGAGAAAAACAAAGTGACTGGTATGGAAAAAGGGAGCTAAGTTGGCATATCAGTAGTGTTATTACTCGCAGCCAGTCAAATACGACTGAAGTTATTTCGTACGCGCACTTGTTTGATCAATGTACTCAGGATTGGTATGCAGTTACGTCAATTCTTGAAAACCTTCTTGAACACCTGAAAGTTAGGAATCCTCTGTTGCAGAAAGTTTATCTACGGTCAGATGAATCTAGGTGTTATCACAACAACCTCTTGATAGCCGCAATGAAAGATGTCGGAAAGAGAGTTGGCGTTGCAGTCGATAGTTATCATTATTCGGAGCCACAATCTGGCAAGGATATTTGCGATCGTATCCTCTGTCCAATGAAGACCTCGATCTGTACTTACTGCAACGAAGGCCATGATGTTCTAACTGCTGTGGACATGCGAGACTCGTTAACAAAGCATCCAGCGAAGGGAACAACCGCCGCCATCAGTGTTGTTAACGAGTCAAGAAACACCCTGTCTGTACACAAAATAGAGCAATTTAGTAGCTTTCACAATTTTAGATATGAATCTTCTGGTCTAAGAGTTTGGAAATCCTATGGTATCGGTAAAGAGAAGCCGATTTCACACGACGACATATATACCAAGCATCAAACTCCAACAATGCTTTTGATCCCGGAATCTCAAGGGTTTATGATCATCCCGGGAAGCGCGAAATCAAGAATCGCCCAGAAGCATGCAAGAAGATCGAAAATCCGGCACAACTGTTCGAATCCTCTGTACATGGGTGCCTTGATGCTTTCGAGACCTTTGAGCAAGCACATTTTCAGTAAGCTGAACCAGTTTGATGCAATCAGAAGGGATTGGGCTCAAAAATTTGCATCGGTAGATATTGGGTATTCCAAAGCATGCTCGTCAAATTCTACGAAGCTACAAACCTCCGAAGTACCCGCCACTGCTAGTTTGTCTTTACATCAAGGATGGGCTTTAAGTAAGCCTAGGAGCAACGCTAGATTTTCAGAAAATGTGAGAGAGTACCTCACAGCACTGTTCACACTTGGTGAAAGAACTGGGCAGAAAGCCGACCCTACTCAAGTTGCAGCAGGGATGCGAATTGCTAACAAAGAATCAAATGAACGTCTTTTCAGTAGAGAAGAGTGGCTGACAAAGACCCAAGTCCAGAGCTTTTTCTCGCGGTTAGCAGTAAAGCGCCGCCAAGGTCAGGGAGTGATTGATCTGTCGGATGAACAAGATGAAGACGTCCAATGCTTGCAAAGAGCATTCTGACAGACAATATATATATGGTAGACATGGTGAACGGTGAAATCAACGTCTCGCATCCCATCTGCTACGATCGATACGTATGATCTGTGCGAACGATACCTCAGCAACACGCTTAAAGAGTTCAATGTGTCCATGCTGAAGACCATCTGTAGCTATTTCGAGATCATTTTCAAATCGAGAGATAAGAAGCAAGTTCTCATGGACAAACTATCGGATATGATTAGTGAATGCGAGTGTGTTTCTCCCTAGCAAAGAAGTTTTACGAGCCGCTGTACATGTACTCTTGATTGGATTCCGAACCCCAAATATCTTCAGTAGGACTAAGTAATGAACCTACCCAGTAAATGCGTTAACGAATCTTGAATTATCGCTACTAATCATCACTACCATTAAAAGACGTGGTCTGGCAGCTTCGTGTATAATGGCAACCACTACATCTAAGAAGAGATGGCTTTTTGAAGTTGAATATGTCTAATATTGTTCAGTGAAGTAGAAAGGTCTATATAAAGATAGATATTCGGGACCCCTCTACTATTTCGATAACCTCTAATGAAGGCACTTGTATCGCTTGCTCATGACTGTAATCTTAACTGTAACATGTAACATGTAGTATAATCATTTAAATTACATTCAAAACTTTTTAGTCAGCCGCGGACAAGGTCCCAAAGTTTGAAAAATAGAGTCTAAATCAAGGCCATTTCAACTCTTTGATTTATAGTGATAAGTACGGTTTACATTGTGCTTAATTTTTCCTTTACAACTAATAATAGGTGAAAATTGCTCTTCTTCAAAAAAGCTAGAAAGTTTCATGAGTGAAATGATATAAAATTCATTGCTAGTTGACGCGAATATAATATTTTATGGATCAATGAAAAATGCGTAATTTTCAATTTTCGAGACTTCCCAACAGGCCTTGAAGGGGCAAAATATTTCGTTATTTGCAGCGCGACTGGAAAATCGTTTTCCACCAAACCGAGACTGTTTTTATTTTATGTTTGGTAAAGCCTTCCAGTTGCCAGAGTTTTAGCGAACATCATGTTTGAAATGAAATTCGAGCGGGCGGTTTTTACAGAGACAGCCTCTTAAGGTGGTTCTAAGTTGAAAACTGTGTAGTTGTAACGTAATTACCAGAAAGGTCTATATTGTTTTGATGCTACTGTACAAGTATATTCCCGAATGCAGCAGCGATCTTTACAAAGTAATCACAAACGTATATATTACCAAATGACCTCCTTCTCACTACACCATCACATCCAGTTATTGAAATACCAAAGCCAATGCATGAGTTGCATGTGTCGCAGTGGTTTTGCTGATTAGCGACTAATCCAATCCGTAAATACATCTTCCTATCATCTCGCCCACCATGGATATTAAAGCCTTGTTTGTTGCACTTTTCTTGTAGAGATGATCCTTTGATAAGTGATTTCCATCTTAACTTTGTAATGTTTGTTGCTGTAAATGTTCCGTTTGCGATTACGTTGAATAGCGAGCTTGCTTGGTGTTCAATCACAATCCACTTTATATCATTTTCTGCACCTCGCCCGTCATTCATTCCAAGGCATATTTTTTTAAACGGCGCGTTCCAGTAAGAAGCTAGCTTTGTTTGTTTTTCTGTCAAACCTTCAAGCCCGTTATCGACTTCGTAGGCAGTTTTGTTGCTCCAATAAGGAGAATCATATTTGAAGGTATCGTATAAAGAACGATGTTTGCCAATATAAACACAAACCAGGATAATTATGTGTGAATCAACGTAATAACAGGGCCTTTTTTAACATACAAGCTGAGGGAGGGGGGGGGGGGGAATGCCCCCTGTTCCCCCTTGTGCCCCAGAAAAAGTCCCTTTTTCCTAAATTTATACAAACAAACCCGTGAAGAATAACAAATAGATAAACGGAAAGTAAGTTTTAGGCTTTGCCTTTATCTTTTTTTTTTGTGCGTTTTTTCCTTCTTTTATTTGAATTACAATTTACAAGTATAGTTAGCGTTAATTTTTTAGCAAATTTGGATGCGCAGAATGCAGGAAATGGCATTTCCGGGCATCAAATTTCAAAAACTTTCTGCGAGAGTATGCCTCCACACACGTGGCCTTCGGCCATTGCTACCCCTTCTAATAAGTAATGATAAATTGATTTTTTCTGTGTTGGTGTAGTGTAATCAGGTGAATATGATGCTTGTGATGTTATCTGAGTGTATATCCACACCAGGCAAGCTTGAAAAATATACCTGGCCACGGTCGGAATCGAACCTATGACCTTTGGAATACTAGCCCAATGCTCTGCCAACTGAGCTATGCGGTCAGGTCGGTTGAGCTACACAGTCAGGTTGGTTGAACTACGCGGTCTGATCGGAATATTGGGCTAGTATTCCAAAGGTTGTAGGTTCGATTCCGACCGTGGACAGGCATATTTTTCAAGCTTGGCCGGTGTGGATATACACTCAGAGTAACAGCACAAGCGTCATATTCACCTGAGTACATTACACAAACACAGAAAAAATCATGATCGATTATTAGATTACATTGATATCGAAGGAACTAGATTCTATTCCGAAATATAAAATACTCGAACCAACTTGACTGCGTAGCTCAGTTGGCAGAGCATTGGGCCAGTATTCCAAAGGTCGTAGGTTCTATTCCGACAGTGGACAGGCATATTCTTCAAGCTTTCCCGGTGTGGATATACACTCAGAGTCACATCACAAGCATAGTGATAAATTATGGTTAATATTTTTTTAACCTATTGTTCGTTTTTTCCTTCTTTTATTTCAAATACAAAGTATAGTAAGCATAAGTTTTAGAGCAAATTTGGGCACGCGGAATGCAGGAAATTGCATTTCCGGGCTTCAAATTTCAAAAAATTTTTGGGGAGTATGCCCCCAGACTCCCCTATTCATTCATGGTATGTCAGCCACACACATGGCCTTCCGTCATTGCTATACCCCTAATATATTATCTCACAGAAAAGTACCTTTTCAAGAAATGCCCCCCCCCCCCACGGGAAAATCCTTAAAAAAAGGCCCTGCGTAATAATACTGCAACGGCGTTGCTGCAGCTGACTGAAATTTAACTTGCGAACGTCGGGTATTAAATGATTCCAGACAAGGGCTTAAACCTTGTTTCCGTATGCTCGTAATGGTCGTAATGGTCGTAAATTTACGGCCGTTACGATCATACGGAAACCAAGCTTAGCCTGAGGCGGGCATTTTGGTGAAAATTGAAGACAAATCAGATGTTGATATACCAAGTCTTATGGCCAAAATCTCATCCTTTTCAGTGTTAATACAAACTAATCGAATATGTTTGTACAATATCACTCCGTGTACGTAGTGATTTTCCGGTTAACAAAAATTCTGCTGTCACAATAATTTATTATCGGTAAATGTAAATGATGCTATTTATTATTTCTGTGGAGACAATGAGGTTATCGATTTTCGTTCTACCGGCTGCCAATACCAATTAATTATCGAATGAATTATCCGAATTAGAACCAAACGCGAATTTAAACATAAAAATTTTAAGTATTAAAATACTTGAAACAGTCAGTCGAATAGATATTTTGTCAAGTCTTAGCGTGAATTTAAAAAAATCTAAAGAACCCAACAGCCTGTACAAATGCTGGCGTTTTGGTTTTTGACAGCGGCCATGGCTGGAAACAGTTCTTGCTGGTGGCCAGGGTGCGCGAGAGGATGCCCTGTGACCCCCTAGCTAGAACTATGTAATTAAAAATAGTCGAATATAGTCGAAAGATCTGACAGTTTTTATTGTGAAAGTGGAGACTTTTGCGCAATCCGTGTATATGCAATCTTAACCAAAATTTACTAAAGTGCGCGCACATAGACTATACCACAGTTAATGACTAAGTTAATGACTCATCAACACTATACATTCCCCCCTTTTGGGAGGATGCCAAGCGCAGACCTACGTTAAAGCTCCTAATCTAAAATCAGAATTGATTCTTAGAAGATGTCAGAAAGATAGAAAAAAATAAGGAATTGTCTGATAAAGTGGAAGCCCTAAAAATGCAAAATCTGAACAGCAAAAAATGTGAAATCATTAGAGAACTATACAACACTAGTTCTGTCATCGATCTGGTCCATATCGAAAAAGTTGGATATGTTGAAATCCCCGAAAATACACCCGAGGTGGTTGTGTCAGAGTTGCATTCATATCCATCTTTACATGGGAATATAATCATATAATAGATGAAATAGCTTAACTGTATTTAGTCTGATGGCAACGCTTGTAATGGGACGAAACGTTACTCAATAAATAGCCTCTTTTACGAGTTATTTGCTAGGCAATAATATTTTTAACTAGAATAAGATAAAGCAGTGTTGTGGGAATTTTCGTTGGTCACCCAAAAAATCTCTAACGAAACACAATCGAGACCATCGTCACGAAACAACGTCATGAAACCGAGTCTCCAGTTGGCTTTCTCTTGCAGATCCAGTTTGTTACATAACACATCAATAGATGGGATTTTACGAACTAAATGGAATCAGTGGCTGCAGCATGCAGGTACCAGATACCTATCATCAATATATGCAAGTGCGTCAGAGTCACTGTGATAATCTGATTAGAATACAAAAAACGGTAACAAGTAAAATCAAACGAGTATTAGCCAATATTTTGTGTGTCTCTTAATACGATATTTATTCTCAAGAGAATCGAGGTATTGACACTTGTTATCCACTACTGTAACTCAGAGATAGTAGTGGTGTCTTGAAACATGGCTATCCGATGTTAGCCCAGACGACGCATTGCAGAAAAATTCAAGGCATCTCAGGTTTCAGTGTAATTAGGAACGACAGAGGAAACAGAAGGGGTGAAGGTGTGGCCATCTTCGTAAAAAATACAATTCCCTTTAAGATACAGTGCCGTAAGAAGTTTTTTATTGGGGGACTGAAAGCGAGGGCCGAATGCCAGGGGAAATTTTTAAATTTAGAGTCTCAGAAATTCCATTTCCTGGACTTTCGGCAAGATTTGACAGCATTCTGATGGTCAGGGAACAGTGTTTTAGTATGTCGAAATTTACAATTTAGTGGTACTAAATGGGCGAAGGCGTATTTAATTAACTATATATTGGATAAATTGTAAGGAATTATGGGTAATATCTTCATTCTTTGAAGTTTGTCATGGATAATGTACCCGCTTAAAATTAATCAATTGTCGGTATTTTAAAGGTATATTATTTAGATGATAAAGGTCTGCATGGTTTTGAAAAAAGAATGATTATTAGAAAATTATTGGGGGTGGGGGACTGCAGCTCCCCCCCCAATCCCGGTTCCTATGGTCCCGCAGATACGTTTATATTTTTGTAATATACTATTTTCCAAAGATTGTTCTTGCATGCGTTTATCTTCCAACATGGCTAAGCTCTGGAGCAATTGAGAATTTTAATAAATATTTCTAATTCTGCTGCTATGAATATTTGTTTGCCTGCCGTTTGACGTATAACGCGAAGCTTAAACTCTCCATTATAGTCAACAAAAGTGGTCAACGGTGTATAATTCTCCCTGCATAAACAGTAAAGTAGATGCCTTTTTTGATGATACATCAGAGACGATCATTATTGTTTTCCCGTTGAAAACTATTAAAGAGCACGAGGATGATAAACTTTTTATATCAGGAAGAATTATGCAAATGATTTCGGAAAGAGACAAATTGTGTCAGCAAGGAAAAGCGGTCCTCTATTGTACAGTAATTCGCTCTGTTCTGGAATACAAAGCGCAAATTTGGAGCGGTGGTTTAACACAAATTGTAAAGAAAAACATATAAAGATTTCAAAAACGTGCCCTGAGAATAATTTATCCAGGCCAAGGTGACTAGGAACTTCTATAAATCCAAAGCAACCTACCGTCCTTAGAAGGACGCAGGAAAAACTACCCACTTCCCTAATTGAGAATATGTTGGAACAATGGCACAGATTTCACTGACGGATTATTACCAAAGAAGGTGATTGAAATAAGGGAAAGAAATAGCAGGACAAATGGAAATAAGGCGTACAGTACTACTTCTTTCGCCAAAACTGAAATACTAAATACTTAAAATACGTCGAGCGCATTGCTGGCTAAAACCTTGCCAACAACGTATTTCTTTCAGAAGAGGTAGGTGATAATGACTTTTTAAAATTTTGTTTATAAAAATCCTTGGATACATCGTTGCTATAAATCTTTCTTCAATCATTCTATTTTTATAATGATCAAATAGGAATCGTTTTTCGAAATTTCGAATTTCATTGCAAATTTAACAGCCTCGAAATAAATTTTCGATTATTCAATATATGTTTAATATGCAGTAATTATGCGGTTTGCACTATGAGGTTTACCTTTCTTCCATCCACTTTCATTACTAGAGTCCAGCCCCCCAGTCCACATCCAGATATTTCCGTCATGTGACAATAAACGTCGTAACTTTCACGTGAATCTTGATTTTGCAACGTATAAGTACCGCTGGTTAACGAGCTAGATAATAAAACGTGATGTAAGGATAATGATGTCCTATAGCATGGTGTGGAATTTGTATTGGGGTAAAAGGTGGAGAAGGTGATTTTA